ATTCTTTCACTATAGTACCTCGGATTCCTTCGCCCCGGGATGTGATGGAGGTAGTACAACTCCAGCCGCGTGTAGTTTGTCTGTGGTGATTGTTCCGGTCTTGTCGAAGCAGCATGCAGTCACCTTCCCAGCCATAGGGATTCGGAAAGGTTCGGTACAGAATACCTACAATTGGCGATGAATGTACCATGAGCGTATAGCACGCTTTGAGATAGGCTATAAAGATGCGTGTGCATGTGAGTACTCAGTAGACCACATTAAGCATGTGTGTATTTATGTATTTGAGAAGTACACGAATGTGTGTTTGAATATAAAGGTGTGTGTGCATGTGCATACTGCGCAGGCCTACACGAAGAATGTGTGTGTGCACGTATTTGAGCAGTACTACAGACATGTAGACACACACCCACTCATGTATATACACATACACACACGTATACATACACACATACACAGCCATATACACACACATACACATACGTATACATACACACATACACAGCCATATACACACACATACACACAAGCACGGACATATTACCGTACAACAAACTACACACACACACCTGCTGACCCATAAGCGTGGCGACAGATGTGTTGATGGCAAACGCCATCTGCATGGGCAAGTCAGGCGGCACCACACTGGTGATGATCAGGATACAGTGCAGCAGTATGTCATAGCGACTGCGCTCGCCATCCTGTGACAAGTAATACGACAGGTTAAGTAAGTCACGGTATATATACGGCTCATCCTGTGACAAGTAATACGACAGGTTAAGTAAGTCATGGTATATATAAGGCTCATCCTGTGACAGGAAATATGACAGGTTATGTAAGTCAAGGTGTATATACGGCTCATCATGTGACAGGTAATACGACAGGTTATGTAAGTCACGGTATATATATGGCACATCCTGTGACAAGTAATACGACAGGTTATGTAAGTCACGGTGTATATATGGCTCATCGCGTGACAAGTAATACGACAGGTTATGTAAGTCACGGTGTATATATGGCTCATCCTGTGACAGGTAATACGACAGATTAAGTAAGTCACGGTGTACATACGGCCCATCCTGTGACAAGTAATACGACAGGCTATGTATACCACGGTGTATATACGGCTCATCCTGTGACAGGTAATACGACAGATTAAGTAAGTCACGGTGTACATACGGCCCATCCTGTGACAAGTAATACGACAGGCTATGTAAGCCACGGTGTATATACGGCTCATCCTGTGACAGGTAATACGACAGGTTAAGTAAGTCACGGTGTATATATGGCTCATCCTGTGGCAGGTAATACGACAGGTTATGTTTATGTACGCTACAGTTTATATACGACTCAATAGACATGATTATAATATAATATCAACAGCCACAGAAAACTATGCATGTGTCTACACTCTATATGTATATGCACACTCTCATCAATGGACATGGTTTAGAATATGAATATACATTTATAGGTATCTGTACACATACACTATATATATATGTACACTTACACCATATATATATGTACACTCATACCATACATATGTACACTTATACTATACATATGTACACTTACACTATATATATGTACACTTGCACTATAGATATATGTACACTTATACTATATATATGTACACTTACACTATATATATGTACACTTATACTATGCATATGTACACTTACACTATATATATACATGTACACTTTCACACTACGTAGTTTGCATACCTCTAAACTCCGTTTGAGGAAATAACTCGCCGAAATCAGCGCGAAGACCAATAGGAACATAAGAAGAAAGGCTGCGTCTGTGCTGCTGGACGACACTTTGTCTGTGCTGAACTCAATGCGACGAACCAATTTACCCTACAACAACACACGCACAAGAGGGTGAGAGAAGGTAAGTATGCGTGATGGTGGCATGAAGGGTGTGCCAGAAAGGTGTAGGAGGATGTGCTTAGGTATGATGGTAGCAATATAGCACAGAATATTTAATATAATATATATATATATATATATATCTATATGTATGTATG